GTTTAGGGTTTAGGGTACACCTTAAATCATAATATGAACCCCCTTATAGTTTAAGGTATATTGCTTAATTAAGGGTCTTGGGCTCTCTGGGTTCGGGCTTTGGGGAATTAGGGTTTAGGTTTAGGGACCTTGGGGACCCTATAAACTATGGGAATTAGGGTTTAGGGTTTAGGGCTTCGGATTTAGGGCTTTGGGTTTGGGATTTTGGGTTTAGGGCTTTGGAGTTTGGGGTTCAGGGTTTGGGGTTTGGGGTTTGGGGTTTAGGGTTTAGGGTTTGGGGTTTAGGGCTTAGGATTTAGGGCTTTGGATTTGGGGTTTAGGGGTTTAGGGCTTTGGGGCTTGGGATTTAGGGTCTAGGGTTTAGGGCTTTGGGTTTAGGGTTTGGGGTTGAGGGTTTAGGGTTCCTGTAAGGGTTCTTGCCAGGGGTCCATAAGGGTTGCTATAAGGGTTGCTTTAGGGATGTTGTGGGGTTCAGGGTTTTAGGGTGTACTCGCACATTTTCAGTTGGGTAGTTACCGCAAAAGGAGCCTTATAGAAGCTCTATAAACCCTAAACCCTAACCCTAAATATATACCCTAAGCTCCCCACCTGTAGTTTCCTTTAGCTTAGGGCTTCAGAATTTGGGGTTCAGCGGCTTGGCGGATTGGTGCTGGGCCGGCATACTTGGAGGTTCATGGGTAGTTATAAGTGGGGTTATAAGTAGGGTTTAGGGTTTAGGGTTTAACTAACTATACTTATAACCCATATTAGCGGACTTATAACCAGACTTATAACTACCCCTAAACCTCCAAGTAGGGTTTCAGGATTTAGGGTTTTGGGTTTAAGGACTCAGGCTCGGGACGATTCAACGCTCGGGTTACATACTTTTGGGCTTAAGGGCTGTAACGTTTGATTTTGGATTTAGCGTTTGGGTGTTGCAGGGTTTTGGGGTTTCGGGTTTGGGGTGTGGGTACCGGCGCAAATCTTGCACTGATGGCTCCCTGCCAGAGGCATGGGCGGCCACGGTGGCCGGCGCGGACAGCATTGCGATGGCTCCCTGGCAGTTTCTGTTTCGGATTGAGGAATCCTAAACCCTAAACCCTAAACCCGAAATCCTAAACCCTAAATCCTCAACCCTAAACCCTAAACCCTAAACCCTAAACCCTAAACCCTAAACCCTAAACCCTAAACCCTAAACCGTTTAGTTGGGGCTTCGTAGCCCGGGCCAGGGCGGGTCCTCCAGCTTGGTGCAGCGCGAGAGTCGGATCTCATGGAGATGTAAAATAGGGGCCTAGACTCGGTTTAGGGTTTAGGGTTTAGGGGTTTAGGGATTAGGGTTTAGGGTTTAGGGTTTGGGGTTTAGGGGTTTAGGGATTAGGGGTTTAGGGTTTAGGGTTTAGGGGCCTAAAAGATGACCTATACTATTTTGGGGGGCTCCTTATTATAGTAATAGTATACTATACCCCCGAACCCTGTTCATATTCTGATTATTAAGGCCGCTTGCTCTTTTTTTTGCACATGTCATGTCGCAAGGCTGAATCAAGGCGCTCAGGCATGATTAGTAGAGCTCGGGCTTCGCTGAATCAGCGAACCCGCACGACGTTGCGCTGGCGCACCTGACATTGTTGGGTTTAGGGTTTAGGGTTTAGGGCTTGCATGGAAGGCGATGACATGCGAAAGCCCCTCTGAGTAGGCTGTCAAGCGTCGTCTCCCAAACGCCACGACTGAGTGCACCCAGTCGGGTCCCTGCATTATTCTGGGAAGCCAACGGCAGACCCGAGGGACCAAAACAGCTTTCGGAGCTAGTCTGAATACACCACTTGAAACTAAACACTAAACCCTATAGGGTTTAGGGTTTAGGGTTTACTATAACCCTATAAACCCTAAACCCTATGAACCCTCAAGCCTTCAACCCCAAACCCGTAAGTTACCGTAGTAATTAAGATGCTTTGCTTGGCAAGGTCTTGCAAGATGAGCAGCTCCTCTCCTTTTTCGGGGATGAGCAGCTCCTTTCCTTTCTCGGAGACTGGGCCAAGGCCATGATTGTAGGGTTGCGGGTTTAGGGTTTTGGGGCTTTAGGGTTTAAGGATTGAGATTTAGGGGTTTAGGGCTTAGGGTTGAGGGTTTAGGGTTAAGGGTTGAGGGTTTAGGGTCACGAGTCTTGTGATTTCTTCACAGTGAGACCCATTACGCTAAAAGAGGACCTCCAGGCAAGTCAGGCGGCATGAGCATCATAGAATACCTTCTGAGCTCGCGGTGTGGGGTTTCGGGTTTAGGGTTTTGCAGGCCGCGCATGCACCCCGTCAGACATGTCAGACAAAAAGCCCTAGACTCTCTCAAATTCCGCCGCTGTCAGCTTGAGCGCCTGCTTGTGTTAACTGTCGTTGTCTTCACCGTCTGACGAATCTTGGCGACCTTGTGGAAACATTTGTGGAAGGAGGCAGGGAGTTGTCATTTTGTAATCAAGAGGTCAGGTGATATTTCCTTTTTTTGCAGTTCCTCCATCCTTTCCTGCTGGGTCTCCTCTGCAAAGCTGACAGGACGTGGAGGTGGAGGTGACGTGCCAGAACGCCACGGTGCTGGCCTTGCAAAGCCAGGTCCACCGGCGCATGGGCTCCCGGAACCTCAAAAAGACTTCAGAGACGGAGAGGGAGAGAAGCTACATAGTTTAGTGTTTAGGGTTTAGGGTCTGCAGCAAGCTGCTCTGTCAGAAGCATGGCTACTTCGACCTGCCACGAATGCAGAGTGGTCCTGGAAGACAAGCAGCGACCTCCGGAACCCTGATGCAGAAGACTTGCACAAGTCTTGCATTGCACCTTGCGCCCTAACATAGAAGCCCAAGTAATTGCCAATATATTACTGTGAGGGTTCCTAATAATAATCATACTATATAGGAGCCCCAAACCCTGTTCTAATTCTTAAGGCCCCTACCCTAAACCCTAAACCCTAAACCCTAAACCCTACAACCCTAAACCCTAAACCCTAAACCCCTCCCTACATTACCTTCCCAAGGTCCCCCCGAATTCCCTTGGAGGCTCTTGCCGCCTCTGCTCTGGATCGCACGGCCTGGGAATTAATGCAGGAGGTGGTCACTTTCCAGGCTGTGCTCTGGTAACATCGGTGAACTCCCCACCCTAAACCTCAAACCCTAAACCCTAAACCCTAAACCCTAAACCCTAAATCCTAAACCCTAAACCCTAAATCCTAAACCCTAAACCCTAAATCCTAAACCCTAAGCCCTAAATCCTTTGTGTACGTCTTGTCAGCTTCTTGGGAGCCCCTCTGTTTGCTTTAGGGCCGAAGACTTTGTAACACGATGAATGCAACGGGCCCTAGAGAGGTCTGCGGCTGTTTTGGGGGGTTTAGGGTTTAGGGTTTAGGGTTTAGGGTTTAGCGTTTAGGGTTTAGGGTTTAGGTGCAGGGTTTTTGAACCCTGGTTTTAGGGTGAGAAACGCAGAGCTTTGGGACCAAGGGATTTCAAGAGTGGACGGCAGAGTCCTAAACCCTAAAAGCCCAAAGCAGAGTCCCAGATTCGCAGACAGGCCTTGGCGCTCTACCAGCAGCAGCAGCTGAAGAAGAAGCGCTTACAGCATGTGGCCCTGACAGATACCTGGGAGGCACTTGGGCGTTGCATCTGCGCAGGGGGCGATAGCATTTTTTCAGGGAGTCGTTTGGGGTGGGGGAGTCGAAGAGCGGGCAAGGGTTGAGGGTTTAGGGGTTTA